CCTTCCTTGCAGTACCTTGACCTCAGTCCTGCCAGAAGAACATGCCTAACACTAACCCTGGTCCACAGAGACTCATTTTAATATTTAAATAGTGGTGTTTAATCCTCTTGGAATTCTCACACAAGGACAATCATTCAAAAAATGAATTCAATCCAACAGAAAGTATTTTCTACTCAGGTTGATGACCTATTTCAAGAAATGTAATATACAAAAGAATCCAACTCTTGCAGGAGATCTCTTGATTCACCTTCAGTCTTGGAACTCACCATAGATGGATAGACATGCTGATAGGGCCCAGACGCAGTGACACCCAGCGAGCAAGTCTGGGTGTTCTCCACCAGGAGGACACAGGGCTGCTGCAGAGCTGAGGCTCAGAAGCCATAAGAGGAACCTAAAACTCTGCACCAAAAAGCAAGGGTGTGTCTAAGGAATGCTGGGGACACTCCCAAGGACAGCACCAGCGTACCAGGGCACTCCCATGCCAACTGGGACCATTCCAACACCCAAATAAATAATGCTAATAACAATTCATTGTATAAATAAGAATTCAAAGCCCATGTTGCTGTAATAAATGAACAAATAAATAAGTGAGGGCAAAGAGAAAGCTACTCCCGCAGAAACATGACAGCTAACAAGCAGAAAGGCAGTGCTGGCCCTAGAAATGTCAATGCTGTTAACACGTTGCAAATCCACAAGAAATGGGATCGTTAATCTCAAAGCTCTTCCCATGAATTACTTATCAAGTACAAAGGGTAAGACTATAGTTTACAATAGAGACTTGGGAGACACCACCTGATTCAGTGATCAAAGTGCCAACACCGGACAAACCACCGGTAGGACTCAGTGAGGAGGACACAATATCCTCCTGTATATCCCGACTAAAAACACTCGCCTGACACCCATCATGAGGGAATGGGAGACAAAGCAAATTAAAGGGCACTCGACACAATATTTAGCTAAGTCTCCTCTTTAACCCTTTTCGGTCCAACGTGGAGGCTGACTCGACAGACCAGGAGCCAGGAGCAGGTCCGTCGAGCTGAGGTCTAGTGAGACAGATAACTTCAACATTCAATCCCGTCAATTAATTTGGACCAGACTGTTTGAATTCCAAAAATAAAACTGGACCGCAAAGGGTTAAAAATGTCTGAAGAGCCCAGCCAGCGTGGCTCCGTGATTGAGAGTTGACCTGTGAACCAGGAGGCCAAGGTTTGATTCGTGGTCAGGGCACATGCCAGGGTTGCGGGCTCAATCCCCAGTAGGGGGCGTGCAGGAGGCTGCAGGTACTCATCCCTCACATCAACCTTAGCAATTTCATTTATAGACTAGAGCAGTGATGGCGAACCTATGACATGCGTGTCAGAGGTGACATGCGAACTCATGTTTTGGTTGATTTTTCTTTGTTAAATGGCATTTAAATATATAAAATAAATATCAAAAATATAAGTCTTTGTTTTACTATGGTTGCAAATATCAAAAAATCTCTATATGTGACACGGCACCAGAGTTAAGTTAGGGTTTTTCAAAATGCTGACACACCGAGCTCAAAAGGTTCTCCATCACTGGACTAGAGACTGAGGTTCAGAAAAATGAAATAACTGTTGAGGGTCCCAAGGGCAATTAATTATAGACAACCATCCGAACCTGGGCCAGCGTCAGGTACAAATGCACTCTCTCAGTCCTGGGGAGGGAGCCCTTCAACCTCTATGCTCCGTGAACAGGAATTTCCAAATGGCCACACAATCAGGATTCAAGAGAGAGCCCATGAAGAAAGTGAAGAAGGACTGCGAGCGGTAAACCCAGACAAGCATGGTCGCCAGGACTGTGGAAACCAACAGCAAGAAAGAAGCCATCCTGAGCTCTTTGTGAAAGGCTTCCTGCGCCCACCATGCACTCGTTACAACCAAGAGGAAGAGCGATCATGAACTAACGTCACTTCAAAGATAAGCAACGGAAGAGCAGACTAAAAACCTGCCTTAAGTCGCAGGCTCTTTCACTTTTCAAAAAACCCAATTTAATAAAATCTAAAGATAAGTTATTTGATTGTAAGTAACGCGATATAGAAACTGACGGAAGAGAACTCTGTGCCGAAGCACCATCACCTCACAAGTCCAGCACAGAGAACCACCTGAGGAGGCTGGAAAGCACCTGCAATCTGTGCTGGCCTGAGTGCGAGGCGCCTCTCCCTCACCGCCCCAGGGACACACCCTGACCGCACTTTCAGGAACAACGCTGCAGACTGGCTCCTGTCCTGTCCAGAGTCAACTACTTGGACCAGGAGACCACTAAGGCAAAGAGTAATGTAATTAACTACATCGATGCCAGCCTAGGTCAGAGAAGAATGAAGACAGTGGTTCTCAACCTTCTGGCCCTTTAAGTACAGTTCCTCATGTTGTGACCCAACCATAAAATTATTTTCGTTGCTACTTCATAACTGTAATGTTGCTAAAGTTATGAATCGTAATGTAAATATCTGATATGCAGGATGGTCTTAGGCGACGCCTGTGAAAGGGTCTTTCGACCGCCAAAGGGATTGCGACCCACAGGTTAAGAACCGCTGAATCAAGGAAATAAAACAGACTCCCAAGTAAACCTCTCTAGGAAACCTTATAAATATGATACTTACTGTACTTCTGTACTAACAGGATGTAAAGAAGCTCATTAAGAATGTACAAGAACACAGAAATTAATTATATGAACTAATACTTACCAATAATTTAGTTAGTTATGAACCTGAAATGTATAAATAATACCCTGCAAAGGTACAGTACATAAGCTGATCCTCCCAAATGCTAAGACCCTGTCAGAGCCTCACTGGAGTTGCCAGTTCAGAACGGGCTCACGGCCTAGCCCAGGGCATTAACGCCACAGCTGACAGGAGAAAAGAAGGACCAGCAGGGACAGAAATTAAAGTCAGAAGAAATGTGCACACACAACACTTAACAGAACTGTTTCTTTTTGTATTGCCTGAAATAAACACAATTAAGAATATGCTCTCGTAGAAATAGCTCCTACCCACAGACACTGCACACACACACACAACCCTCGCCATTAGAAAATACTATTTATTCCAGTTCAGAGAGACACAAACAAGGCATTTATCCTCGGAGAGTTGAAAGTAGCCAACATGCTACTAGAGGAACTGTTGGGAAAAATCCTCGTGGAGATTGCAGACAGGTTGGATAGTTAACTTACTACTTAAGAATTAAAAAGAACTAAAAAGCTACTCCAACGTTTGGCAGATGGTTATTTTCATGTAAAATTCTTCTGTTGTTTTTCTGTGTATTGTAAAATTATATAGCATAGTTTTAGAACAGCGGTTCTCAACCTGTGGGTCGCGACCCCTTTGGCGGTCGAACGACCCTTTCACAGGGGTCACCTAAGACCATCCTGCAGATCAGATATTTATATTACGATTCATAACAGTAACAACATTACAGTTATGAAGTAGCAACGAAAATAATTTTATGGTTGGGTCACAACATGAGGAACTGTATTTAAAGGGCCAGAAGGTTGAGAACCACTGTTTTAGAATATAGCATGATATGAAAAATATTTTTTACACTGTAGAAAAGAGAGCAAAAATTTAACTAGCTCAATTCTTTGAAAGGAAAGGTGTTGATTCATTTGCAAGCTGTTCTTCGACATAGAGCTAGCTGAGCCCCCAGCTCAGCTGCCAGCCCACCAGGACCCGAATGCACTTGGCTTCCCTTCTTACAGCCACAGCCTGCCCATGGAGGCCACTGGAAAGCTCTATTCCTGACCTTGGCCCATGAAAGTGAGACACTGACCAAGTGTGCTTAAAACAAAGTCAAAAGCAAAGGGCCACAGACACTGGAAACTGATTAACTTTTGAGTTCTCATCTAAAAATAACAAAGGCATATAACAGTAAAATAATTTGATGGAATATAGGCCATCTGCTCATCAACATTTTGAATCACCATGAATGGAGGTGAGAAAAACAGATTCAAGTAAAACAAAATTATGGGTCCTATTAATATGGAATTTCTAATTCATATTACTCTATCAAAAGTTTTAGTCTACAAGCCCAGAAATAAAAGCAGTTGACACTGCACTATGTAAATAGCTCACAAGATGTTCCCAAATGGGCACAGCACAGGACATAACGCCACACGTGCCCCTTCACGGTCCTCTGTGCACTGTCCTCCCCGGAGGGCCTGCAGGGTACAGGCTGTGGTCTGTAAAGGCATCACCACTGGCCGGCTTCCCCTTCCTTCCTCAGTTTATAGACAAACCACACACACCAGTACTGTGACAGGACAACAATTGTACGGACCACCCAGAATGTGCTGCGGAATCCTGTCAGTACAGCAAGGCTAAGCCCCCCTCTATAAAAAAGCAGGTATCTACACATGGCTTCTTGAAAGGACAACCTGTGCCACGGACATCTGTCTGCCTCTGTTCAAGAACTAAATTGTCCAAACCGGGCTGGAAAACAGCAATGACTGCCTTAGCCTTAGGGAGAGTGATCTAAAACGGCCACTGTCACAGGGAGACAGACAAAAGTGTGCTTGCCTCTGACCTGCAACCCAGGTACTTGCCCTTGACTGCGAATGGAACCCGTGACCCTCAGGTGTGCAGGCCGAAGCTCTAATCCCTGAGCAACACCGGCCAGGGCCACCGTGGTTGCACTTTAGAACTCTGCTCATCCTGTTGCCCCTGAATCTAAAGCTACACACGAGTCACTTGCTTTGTGGTAAAGGAAATTTTGTGTTTAATTCTGTGTTCATAATAGTACCACAAATTATCCTCAAAAAGACTCTAAAACTGAGAAAGGTCTAAGTGAAGAACAGAGACAACTGAACACCATGGTCAGCACGGACACTGCAGCTCTCATACCAGCTTCCCGAAAGAAGGGCTGGTCCACGTGACTGTACAGAAGCAACCTACCTCCCTCTGCTCACACACCTGCTCTGGGAATGAGGGCATTCTAAGTGAAGGATGCAGAGATTCAAGAGGCACAGTGACCTCGTCAACTTACCCCACCTGACAACTTAATCACCCTGACTTTGGAGCTGACATGCGGCCCATCTCCGCCACCGCTGTTTGCCCGGTGCATGACAGTCCTTTTGGCGCCAGGCTTGGAGTCAGGGGGCCGGCCCTGGAGGGCTGTCACTCGGGCGGTCTGTGCTGGGGGCGGCTCGTCCCCATCCTCGGGCTGTGCCTGCAGGACTCTGTGTCTCAAGTGCTTCAGTGGTTTGACCGGCTGTCCTGAATACTGCATGTTAGCACCAGGTGGCACAAAGTTTGACGTCTTCGGCTGAAGACTTGAAAGAGCAACATCTTGGTTTTTCACGAGAAGTCTGTTTTTCACATTCTGTCGGCCCTGGGCACCAGGGAAGGGTAGCAAGGGGTTTCCATTGGTGGGCAACGGCAATGGCAACGCCGGTGGCTCTTCCCGCTCCGCAGGGGCCCCAGTGCTGCAGAGTTGCTGTTGCTGCTGCTGCTGTTGCTGCTGCTGCTGTTGCTGCTGCTGCTGCTGCTGCTGCTGCTGCTGCTGCGCCAGCCTCTCCAGTAGCTCCTTCTTCCTGGCTCCGGCCTGCTGCTGCCGGCGCATCTCCTTCTGCTTCAGGATCTCCTCCCGTAGGCGCTTCTGCTCTTCTATCTTTAAGCGGTACAGCCTCGTTTCTTCATCTTCATCAGGAAACTGGAACAGAGAACACACACGGCTTACTTGGCAGCACCAGACAAGGCGACCGTTCCAGTGTATTTCTACAAACTCAGAAAATGCAAAAGTATAAAAACCCTTTCATTCAAAATTTGAAAGACACTAAGTATAACGCCTTCCTCTGAAGAGGGGGAAAATTATGCAATAGCTAACTTAGAAAATCTTATCAGAATATTAAAAATGAAAGAATGTACATTTCCATTCATGTATAAGTCTGAAACCAATTAAACCATTCAAGATATCAAAATATGTTTTGAATGGAAATAGCCACAGTAGGGGCCGCACTGTCACACAGGTTTTATCTGGCTCTTCTCTGACGAGCCAACAAAAGGTGGGTGTAAATGACCTGAAAGGGCCTGATTAGAACTATTGATTTTTCGTACAGAATTTCAGCCTGATCTCAAACTCATTTGTCACAGAATAATTGGTGGTAATGAACAGCACAAGTCAATCTCTCTGACCTTGAACTCATGCACTCTCCTCAGAATCAAAATGCTGTCAATGGCAATATTGGAATATTAATGCTATCTAAGGAAAGCTCTAATATGCCAGCCCCAGACCATTATGAGAGTCTTCCAAAAAAAATCTCAGGAAAGTCTGGTAACTTTCACCAAAACCATGCAATAAGGAAAGTTTATTAAAAGTTAGGCACTTAGCCCTAGCCTGTTTAGCTCAGTGGACAGAGCACTGACTCACAGACTGAAGGGTCCCAGGTTCGATTCCGGTCAAGGACACATACCTCAGTTGCAGACTCAATCCCCTCTCCAATTGGGGCGTGTCCAAGAGGCAAGCAATCAATGTGTCTCTATCACATCGATGTTTTTCTTTCTTTCCACCCTCTCCCGCCCCCCCCTTCCCTTCCACTCTCTCTAAAAATCAATGGAAAAATATCCTCAGGTGAGGATTAAAAAAAAAAAGTTAGGCATTTGTTAAAAATGGCAGTTATTTTCTTTAAAGGCATCACAGATACGCTCCATCCACAGATCCTTCACAAAAGATTGTAATAGGAATTAATCTATCTAGAGGTCAGCTATTAACAAACAAACCTTAAAAATTAGGAGTTAAAACCAAAATATAACTGCAGACCCTACTGGTGCCCCCAGAGCCCATGCACTTGACCTACAGGACAGAGTCGGGCCCTCATCAGGGCTTGCTTGTCATTTTAGAAGCAATTTTAGAAGCATTCTGACCAAGTCAGCTATCTAACTGAAAGTTTAGGGCAGATGTGAAACAGCAAATCTGAAGTCAGATGAGGCCACACAGGTAGGTGTAACAAGTAAACAGCATTGAAAAAGTGAGGGGCCAGGCCACTCATGGAGGAGCAGACAGCTGGGGAGTAGTGACAGGTCCAGGGCTCCCTGCCTCAAACGCAGTAACAGTCACTGAGATGTGTCCCTAAGCAACCAAGAAAGAGTTAAAGTACCAGTATGTTCAAGAACATAGCTGGGAATACTTCTAAATAGGTTTGTCCTTTATCGTATCATTATCGATTAAGTGAATGTAAGAAAATAAACTACAAAACAAATAGAAGACATTTTAAGATGTAAAAAATTTTACTTCTGGTCCATTCTATGTGCACAGAAAACTGAAAGCAAACAAATGAAGACACTGCGTACACATGGTCACCTGCAAGTTCCTTTTCACGCACAAGCACCTGTTTGGTTCTACAGAAACTGACACTGCGGAACCCACTGAATCACCAGTAAAGAACAGACAGCCATGTGCAGCAATGCTATGCCTAAAGGCCACTTTTGTCCTTTTATTTAGATTCTGTTGTTATAAAAGTGCATGTAACTTAATTTTTCTGAACCAGTCTGTGATGAGTGAAGAGCTGGCTATGTAAATTAAAAGCAGGATAAAATTTTTAGCAAGGATTTTTTATAAACTGCCCCAATCCAGTCTGTAAATCTAATTTTTTCATATATTTGATTTTAAAACCAAGTCACCCTTCTTCTATTAAGAGCTTATTAAATGTCAACTCAATATTTTGACTTTATATTGACACTTCTGATTAGTAACACATTACAACTGCTTACAATTTATTAGCAGAAAATCTGACTTCCCTCCAAATTTAACTATTAGTGTTGACTGGTTTTTATATAATTAAGAAAACATGACTTGCCTATATTTTTATCAAAGGACACTCTTCATGACATTCTTTTATATTAAGTTAACACATGACACTAATTTATAATATTCTACATAAATTTTATCAATACCATATCCCAGGCACATGCACTCAATGGCTAAAGAAATGGAGGCTTGTGAGAAGTGAAGTGTGAAGTGACTTGCTCAGGGACATGGTGTTGGCGCTGGTGGGTCATTCCAAGGGTGTGCTTCTCACCTATGCTCCATTAGACACCTCGTCCTAGTTAGAACCCAGGACTTACAGACACTGCCCACGGCATGTATTTGTACTTCTGGCAACAGCCTAGGATTAAATCTTGACTGCACAGAAGCATGAGACAAGCACAGCCATTTCTTTTCCAGGAGACCAGTGACACAGATTTTACCAATACTTAACAAGAGCTAATTAAAAAGCTCAGGACCAAATCTGTACTAACACCACTACACAAAAAAATAATCTAGTGGCCACAACTCAATCAAGGTGCAAATAAGATCTCAATTGGAAACCATGTTACATACCGACTTGCATTTACTCTTTATTCTTACATTTATACCTACTGGAAATCAGCAATAATGGCACAGGTCGAAATAAGCTCCCCCCCCCCCCCCAAAAAAAAATCTACTTAAAGGTTAAAAAAGTGGTCCTATCTTCTAGCCGTGCACAGTGTAAAATGGTCCACATTGAGAACCAGCTAACTAACTACACAGCTCACGGGCCAAATCTACCCTAGCATTACTCTGTCATCAAGCTTTACTGGAACACAGCCACCTCTGATGATGCTAGAACTGTCTATAATTGCTTTTGTGCTAACAATGCAGAATTGAATATTATGAGAAACAGGTTGGACTATCAAGTCTGACATTTTTATTATCTCAACGCTTTAAGGACTTGTTTGCCAACCCCCAACATATACAGACTCTATAGCATACAATTTTAACTGTGCAAGTGCATAAATACCATCTAATATCAAAACCAGTGAGAATGAGGGTGTATGTTATATGAACATGACTGTGAGGTTAAAAGAAGGACCTAGTTGAGAAAAAGTGGTAAGATTTGGTGATAACTCGCCAGATCAGAGTGAACTCAGGGGTATAAATGGATTATAAGGCTTCCTGTTATTTTTTAATAGCAAAGAGTCCTACCTCTGGTTCTGCTTTTGCTTCTTCCTTAGGTTGACCCTCAGGGCTAATGGGCTTGGCCTTCAAGTCCGTCTTCCCCTGTGTGTTCCTAGGCCCAGGTCTCAAGGGTGGTGACATGCTGTCCATCGGCTTTCCATGAGCACCAGGCGTGGATGCACCACGACTGTTACTCAGTTCCATGACGTGCGAGGGCGCTATTGGTAACTCACGCAAGTTACTGTTTCTGGCAGCAGTTGGCTGCAGCTGCTGCATTGGCCGTTTGGTTACATTCTGAGACGTCGTATTCTATCACAAGAAGACATAAATTCAAATTACAACAAGAAACTTGGGAGGACCACAGAAAGGCACATTAGATTATTAGATAAAAATAGTTAGAAATCATTCTAATTAGTGACTTCTCTTTCAGGGGCAGACACTTCTCCCATCCATACTTTTTTCAAAATGAATGTTCCCTGCTCAGTGCGGAAGCACACCCTGCTGGTAAGGACTGGGACCCCTAAGGGGGTCACACTGCTAACAGACAGACAGGCTCTGAACTGTGGACTCACAGCAGGGCACTGCAGGTGGGGCTTGAGTCTGGGGACAGAGCCAACAAAAGACTCCATCTGCACAAGGAGTTGGCAGCACCATTTTTACTGGGTCCCCTAAGTTTACAGTGGACCAAGCAAAGATACAAGCATTAAGTCAGTGCCCTCCCTGGAGGAGAAAGATACCCGTGAGTTTTCTCCAAGAGGAAACACTTGGTTATGTCCATCCTTGGGATTCTTAACAGAATCCCAACACCTGCGGGGGGGAGGGGGGGGGTACAGATGTGAGATGGCTGGGGGGATTCAGTTCTCAGATCGCGCGCTGGCGTCAATATGTAAGGACACAAGGCCAGGCAGGTGGTTTGCCACTGCTCTAATAAAATAAAACCCTAGTTACAAACCACTGTCTTCCCAGATCAGGAAATCCTTTCTTATTTCTCATACCATTTAGTCTCATTGTTACTTTAAGAAACAGGTATGAGAAATTTTGAGATTAAAAGTAGCTAAATGACATGCTTGAAGCTTGAGGTACCAAGTGATAGTATAAAAGGAAAAGCCAACTGTCACCTTAGAGCCTAGAACTCTAACCATTAGATTCTTTATAAAAAGGTGTTATTTAATAGAAAACAGGCGATAACAGTGACTACTGTTTTTTATTTTTAAAGCAGTATACTCCCTAGTTTCTTTCCATGCATGACCAACCACACATTTGCTGATGGTCCCCGAGAGTATATCCTCACAAATAAAAGCACAGTTAAATATAAGCTCCACGAAGGCAGGAAACCTGCCTATTGCTCACGGCTGTGTCAGGAACGAGAGGAGTGCCTACCAAGAGGACATTCAATACATTCTTCCCGAATTCACTTACTTATTTACTCAGAGCCCAAGGAGATCATCTGTGTGTCAAAAAGCCAGCCACTGGCAAAGGGTGACTGTCACCCGAAACTATGTTCTGAAGTGACGTGTCTGTGAATTACTAATATCATCGCTACAGCCCTAACCGGTTTGGCTCAGTGGATAGAGTGTCGGCCTGGGGACTGAATGGTCCCAGGTTCGATTCCGGTCAAGGGCATGTACCTTGGTTGCGGGCACATCCCCAGTAGGAGGTGTGCAGGAGGCAGCTGATCCATGTTTCTCTCTCATCGATGTTTCTAACTCTCTATCCCTCTCCCTTCCTCTGTAAAAAAATCAATAAAATATATTTTAAAAAAAAAATATCATCGCTACAGGAACACACAGATACACAAGAGTAAGAAACTGAAGTAAACAACATGAGGAGTCTTTCGGGCACAGGAGAGACACTATTCATTTCTGTAGTCTAGAAGACCAGTTTCCTAAGCGGTTTTTAAACATGCGTTCACTGCGGGAAAATGCATGAGGTGCTTCGTTAATTCAATCAGAACTAGAAACTACTCTGGCTCAGGAATTCTGCCCCTGATGTTGTGACTTGAAAGGCATCGCTGGCAGATGGCAGAAGACAGGTGGACACTCACATGCCTCAGCCCCTGGCGCTGGGGGCACTGCATCCGACTGCTGTTCTGCTGAGGCTGAGCCGTCTGCATATGAGGCCTGAACTGGGGCTGCGACATGGGCATCAGAGGTGGCGGGGGAACAGACAGGTGGTGGTGGTGCTGGTGCTGCTGCGGCTGGTGAGGAGGCTGGTGCTGCGGCTGGGGGGGCGGTGGGTGCTGCGGAGGTGGCTGCAGCGGGGGCTGCTGCTGAGGCTGCGGTGGAGGCTGGTGGGGAGGGGGCAACGGGGGGTGCAGGGGCCCCTGCCATGCCAAAAGAAAAAGAAACAACAGTTTATAATGCATATACTAGTTATGTTCCAATTCAGCCCTTCCCTTAGAAACCCCAACACCAAAAAGAAACTTGAAGCGGTACAAATTTCATTTCAGATTTGTTGATGGAGGTGATGTTATATTTACTCTAAGTCCTTTTAATCTCAAAATTCCAAGGATTTGTCCTAAGGAGACTGGTAAGGATACAAACATAACCTCTAGGATCTTCCCCGCAGCACTGTCTCTAAGAACGTGTACAACCCAGTGACGCCGTCAGTGCAGCCTATGAGCGGGTCTGGTGTGCAGTGACAGGTAACTCCCTGCGGAAAAGCATGCTGAGGACGGTGCTCTGAAGAGCCTGAGAAGCATGAGCACCCAATGCTAGTGGTGACTGTTTCAGATGCCGGGCTTACTTTCCTCTTTAAATACTTATCTCTACTTGAATACTTCTACAATGAAGATGTAGTCACTGTATTTTTTTTAAATAAAAAGAAAAACAGGGAGGCAGAAGAGGGTAAAGGTATAAATGGCAATAGGAGGAGACTTGACTTGGGGTGGTAAACATGCACATACAAAAAAGAAAAACAAAGACATTTTATCCTACTCTAACACCCTAAATAATCACCATTTTCCTCTTTTCGGTATAAACGCACACCCTCTGTGTTCCTAAGCTGCTTCAGGCACGCCACCATCATGTATTTAATCCTTTGCTTCAAGCACAAACAGAAAAGTGCTGGGAAGGAGGAGCTCACACATCCAGGCCGCCCATGAGAGAGCTCACCAGCAGAGGGCACTCAAACTCATCCAACGAGGAGGAAGGAACAGCAACACTTCCCCCAGGGGGAACCTTCCACTGCACACTGCAGTCATATCAGCTGACAAACAACTTTATTTCCCCTGTAAACCTTATACGACTTCCAGTGATGAGCAAAGATATTGTCAAAATACATCCTACTTATATTAGCAGTACAGCCATTAATAAAACTTTAAAATCTTAATAATGAATGTTTTCACTTCCCCAAAATTCACAATCACCTTTTCCATTTCCCCTATGACTAAGGAGATAACCAATACTGTCAAGAGATGATCTGTTGTAAACAGTTAATAGCCTTCTTCTTTAAATAACCTCCCGATCTTAGGAGACTAGAATAAAAATATGAAACTTTGTCTTCAAAAACACCAGACCCAGACCTGCAGCACCCTCCTCCTCCTCCACAGGCCACCTGCCCCACAGCCCACCCGCCCCGAGTACCTGCAGGTTAGGCTGTGCGTGTGCGGGCAGAAATGGCTGTCCGGGGCCTGGCAGGAAGGGCTGTCGAGGAGGAATGAAAGGCCGCGTGGCAGCGGACCCTGGCTGGCTGAAGTGCAGCAGGCCCACGGGACCTGGAGGCTGCAGGGTGGGCCTCACAGGCCTCTCTCTAGGGAACACGGGCTGCTGTCCTTGCTGATTAAAAGCTGGTCCGGGCTGAGTGAATGGTAAGGGACTGGGCGTGGGCACCGGGTGAGCGCTGCTGAGAAGTGTTGGAGGGGGTGGCGGTGGTGGGGGGCTTCGCTGCTCCAGAAAGAGATGACTCGGGAAACGAGGTTCACCTGAAACTGAAAGGCACCAGGATGTCACCCTCTGGCTATACAGAACGTGCACTCTGTAGAAAGCTGGTGCACACAGTCTTCCTACAGACAAAATTCCAAGTGGTGGCAGGGTGCGAATGCTTGAAAAGAATCCTAGATTTCCCCTTACTTCTCCACTGCTTCACTAGTCATTTTCTAGAACTGATTTCCTTTTGTGTATGTGAAGTTCACATTTCAGACACCAGTCCTGTCCACTGTTAGCACTGGAAATGACAGGCAGAAGTGCTAGGGCACAAGAACTGGATGCTTAACAAAAGCTCCTCATGGGAGCTAAATTCAGTTTAAAACAGAAGTGTGTCCAGGCCCATCACTGTCCCTTACCTCCTAAGAAGAAGGGGTCTCGCTCCTGGGGAGGGGGTGGTGCTCTCCACTGGTCCTGCAGAGGAAGCCGTGGGGGCTGGCTAAAATTGTTGGGAACCGGTCCAGGGGTGTGCTGTGCGAATTCTGGAGGGCCCTAAAGAACAACAGGGAAAGAAGATGACAGGCAGAAAAATACCCTGTACATGGAGCCGAGTTTTCCCCTGAAAACATCAATTAACTTATCTCCCTTAGCCCCCATCCCCCCCAGTTCATAACTACATGTTAACAAAGTAAATGATTCAGCCATATGAAACAGTCAAACATCAAAACACAGCATCTAAAAATTAATTCCTTGTTTTCATATGTCTACAGCACCAAAAGAACATTCTTTTTAAGCTTATTGAAATCCGGGTAATTATTGACCTTCTTGCCTTTTCATCCGAAAGACACAATGCCTCATTTGGATGTTCCTGATATTTATCTTCTCAAACATGCTATTCTTTGCTACCTTTTTAACACAACCATAAGCTACAGATATCGAGCTGCTTTACTTCAAAAGAAGGCAAAATAACAGAATTTATACTACAACAAAAATTAGCAATCTCTGACAAAACAGGAAAATGTGAAATGTATAAGAAACCACGCTACTACAAAAGAAATATTACATAGTTGGATTCCACTGGATAAAAATTTCTAAACTCTTAAAGATAAACATTATTTAGTAGCAAAATGTTTACTAGTAAAACTCTATAGGTAAACTAAAATTACTTTATTTTCAGCTGGTCTTTCGAAAAGTCAAAGATTTTTAAAAACAAACATTTGCTTAATAATGCCTCACATTTTTGGATGCATAGAAAGAAGGCCTCACCCTGAGGTGGGGGACAGAGGCAGACTGGAGGGAGTCAATGGGGGAAGAAGAGGTCATATGTAATACTTTCAACAATAAAGATTTAAAAGAAAGAAAGGCCTCACAATTTCCCCTCCTCTAGAAAGAATTCATTAATATACACATCACCAAAATAATTTCTATTTAATAACACCTCATTCCTTGAAACTCAGCCATTATTTCTCAATTTTTAAAAAGTAATTTTTGTTGATTTCAGAGAGGAAGAGAGAAAGAGATAGAAACATCAATGATGAGAGAGAATCATTGATCAGCTGCCTCCTGCACGCTCCACACTGGGAATTGAGCTTGCAACCTGGGCATGTGCCTTGACCTGGAATCGAACGGTGACTTCCTGGTTCATAGGTCGACATTCAACCACTGAGCCATGCTGGCCGAACATTTCTCAACTTTTTAAAACCACACTCCCTTCTCATAAAATTCTAATGCGTTTTCTGTCATTTGATTACTAATACAATTAGCTGTGACATATTTTAAAACGTTGAAAAGCTTTTGCAAACTACATTTGCCTTCCTTCTCCCTTTAAGGATGTGCTCGACCCATGGCATTGCATGAATAATACAAAATGAACACGAGTATAAACACAAACCTGTAAGACCCATGACTATATGATGTTAAAAAAATTATGTTTAAGCACAAATATTACATCTTTATAAAAACAAACTAATGGCCCGGTGCACGAAATTCGTGGACATTAAAAGGGAATTAGAGAAAATATTTTAATATTGCTATTTGCCCTTTCTCTATAATATAAGTGTCAGAGATGAAAGAAAATTAGTAAAATGTATATGAAAATCTCCCTCCTGTCAGAGTCTGGGGCGCACCGTGGGACCCAGAGTCAAGTCCCCACCCACCCACACACACCTCGAAATCACGGGAGACCCAGACCCAGCCGGCCCCACCCCCGTCAAGCCCTGCTGGGTGGGGGGTGCGGCCTCAGGTCCCCTGTCAAGCCCCACCGGGCAGGGGGATGCAGCCTCAGGTACCCCAGCCCTGGCGCGAGGGCGCAAGGGCGTGATGACCATTTGCATATTAGCTCTTTAATATATAGGACACTAGGTACTTATTAAAACATATGGAATAGGAAGCCCCCGAGATTAAATTCTTATAGTCTTTGTTACTTTAAGTGAAATCAAGGGAATTCTCACCTTACCAATGTTTGACATTAGGGATTGCCACTTCTCACCTCTAGATTAAGGACATCAAATGAGACTACCAGAGCAATAAACGTTCAGTAACTGAGAAGTGTAAAATGTACAAGTGAGAACACACAACAGATGCAATCATATTACAAGTAAATGTACACATTTTCTCACGTTAATTTGAGACTTTACCAATATAATGCTTTGACATGGATATTCTTCAATATTTAATATTTTTACTATGGTAATACTAAGCTAGAAAAAAAACGCTGATAGCGTGACTGTCTCACACTGTTACTTATCAAATGCGCATGAGGACTTCCAATGAGCTTGCCTCCTTTCTGCCATGGCCCCATACTTTCCTCTTGTTCTAAAAAGATTTTTATTTTGTCCTGGTTGGTGTGCTCAGTGGTTAGAGCATCGGCCCATGCACGGAAGCATCTCGGGTTCAATTCCTGGTCAAGGGATTCCTGGGTTACAAGTTTGATTCCCGGTCCCAGGCAGGGCCCATTCAAGAGGCAACAGATTAACGTGTCTCTCACATCAATGTCTGTCTGTCTGTCTGTCTCTCTCTCTCTCTCTCTCTCTCTCTCTCTCTCCCTCCCTCCCTCCCTCCCTCCCCTTCTCCCCCCTTTCCTCCTTTCTACTCTCTCTAAAAATTAATGGGAAAAATATCCTCAGGTGAAGATTTTTAAAAATTTTCTGATTTTCTGTTTGAAGTCAACAAAATAGGTACTGTGCATTTATGTACACATGTATTTCAACAGGTAACTAGACAGAATATGTGTTTTAAAGGATTTATTTATAAAATACAGCATTAGTATCCTATCTTCAGTTTCATATATCTTTTTTCTCACATATATATATTTCAAAACTTGGTTTAAAATTATCTTCCAAACTTTCTGGTAACAAATTAGCAACCAAGGTCCTATTTTTTTTAAAAATGTTTAAACCATTTCTCTTGAAGTGGCACTGAAAATAAAGTTACAAATTGCCTGCCCTGTTTTGTGGCAAGGTTTGACTGGTCACCCTGCCTCCACACATGCAATGTGGCGACCAATCAGCACCCCTCACCCGCTCAATAAAGCCTCTGTCACCTAAGCAGCGGATTCAAACTGTTTCCATCTATACTTGACTGTGCCTCTTCTGGGGGAGGGGACACCAGGAAAAAGTTTCAAACAGTAAGTACAGAAGGGACAGGATAAGATTCATTAAAATAATTTACAGTGAGAAATGCAAAACCCACAGATCACAAGCATGCTCCTAAGACATGAGCGGGACAGCACCACAGCCTGAAACAAGCTACTAATGTAAAAGGTCAAAGAAATCACTGAGATTTAAATGTTCCAAATGAGAAAGTTATTTTTCATGAGGTTTTAACTTACAAATTAGTAAAATATTAACACCTACATGAAGACAAATGACAAAACATTTTCAACCTTTAAAGCACAATAGCTCTCCCCAAATACTTTATTGTGGTCATTTATAAATAGATGGGTGTGGTCTGCACAGGAGAGAGATTTGGGGGGATGGATCTCAGCAATGCAACAGTGCCCATGCAAACCCCCCAAAAGCCCCTCTGTACAGAAGTGGCTATCAGCAGGGGCGCTGCTGCTTTGGGGACGGTCCAAGAGAACTGGTCTGGAGAACCTCAGGGTCCAAGCCAACTCTCGGAAGCACTGGGTCTCTTCGTGTTCTTAAAGTCATACAGAAAATGGAAAGACCACTCTATTACTACATCTGGTCAGATTTCTCATTTAAAAAATAGGACAAGTATGCTGAATTACAGCCAGATGGAAGCATTAGGCTACTGCGTCTATACCTGTGTCGGTCACCACTATGTAATGAGCTGTGCTTTTGCTCACAATTAGAAGATGTTTGGAAGGTTCCTGACTCTCTGTCTTGACTAGTAAACACGGCTTTCTTCCTCATTTCATACGAGAAGCCTTGATAGCTATTGCTACTTTCCTTACCCGGCGCACAAAGAACTAGAAAATACCTGGTTTCTCCTGGCGTCTGTGGTCCTTTATGAATTCCATGATTGCACTTCACTGCCACCCGTCTCGGGAAGCTTGCTGCTGAGGCTCTGAACAGAGCTGGCCATGCCGTGGCTGTCCCAGGCCTCTATGTAACCTTCCCCTCCTCCTTCCATTAGAGAGTGACTTCCCAGTCCTCCCACAATTGGTTTTCTCATTACAAATAAGGCCAAACGCAGCTGGAAGAGCAGACTGGCTTCCCCCAATGCAGACAGGAGGTCTGCTGAGTTTAGATTCTGACTCTGCCACGAGTGGAGCTAAGAAAAGTGTTCTCTCCTTTACCCCTTCACCCTCTTCTGGAAGTGCCTGCTCAATTACAGGAACAAATTCAAAGAGAGACTGAAGTGGTTTAGTTTTCAACAGAAACTTCAAGATGTCTAAGAACTAGGTACCTTATTTCTCGGGTCTCTAAGCACTTGCAGATTTCCTGGGAGACTATTTTAAATATTCATAAACTCTAAAGACATTTTTTGGTATTAAACTGAAAATATATTGGGATCACATATCTTGGCCCCTTTGGAATTTTAATATTGTGTTTTCATCACTTCCCCAAACCGTCTTTTCTTTAATTATCCATGTGCTGTCTAACCAGATACACACAGGTATTCAAATGTTATGGACTCTTTCTTCAGCAGTAATATTTTTTTTTTTTAGCAGTAATATTTAACCAGAACTTTATTCTATGATCCTTTATCCTTTATCCTAGTAAGTGAGAATGCTCAACTGATAGGCCTGTGTCTCCGGCCTTCCCACTCACTAGCACAGCCCTGAGCACATGACTGAACCTCTCTGGGCCTCGGTATTCCCATCTGTAAAACAGTCCTATCTCCTGGGAGAAGTTACAGGAACATGCACGAAGTACTTATGACAGTCCCCAGCAATAATGAAACCTCACTGTGCCTGGCATTGTCATTTTTATAATACAATTTTGCAGACAACATTCCACCATAGGTGTAATACACAGCTTCTGACAATTATGTGTTTCCTGATCAAGTGAAAGACAAATCAGCATAGATCCCTTCCTGCATCCTCATTCTAATTTCAAACCAGAAAGCCTGCTCACATAAGGTGT